TGGTCTTACGTAAAAGGGCAGATGGGCCCAGCTGGACGATCTTTCTCTCTTTCACTCTGTGCTCTGCAAGACAGATCCTTGGAGCAAACTCCAACAGCTGAAACACCTGGGCATTCCACAGAGCACAGGGACGGGAATCACAGAGTGGAGCGGATAAAGATTGAACTAAACAATACTTTGATATGCCGGAAGGTAAACACAACATAACCGCATGTGTGAGCGCAGAAGAGCCATGTTTTGGAAAATATCAACAGTGTGTTGTATAGAGCTACAGTTCCAATAATTCCAATATTTATTTACAAACCCAATTCCATAAAAGTTGGGACACTGTACAAATTGTGAATAAAAAAAGAATGCAATGATGTGGAAGTTTCAAATTTCAATATTATATTTAGAATACAACATAAATGACATATCAAATGTTGAAAGTGAGACATTTTGAATTGCCATGCCAAATATTGGCTCCTTTTGGATTTCATGAGAGCTACAAATTCCAAAAAAGTTGGGACAGGTAGCAATAAGAGGCCAGAAAAGTTAAATGTACATATAAGGAACAGCTGGAGGACCAATTTGCAACTTATTAGGTCAATTGGCAACATGATTGGGTATAAAAAGAGCCTCTCAGAGTGGCAGTGTCTCTCAGAAGTCAAGATGGGCAGAGGATCACCAATTCCCCCAATGCTGAGGCAAAAAATAGTGGAGCAATATCAGAAAGGAGTTTCTCAGAGAAAAATTGCAAAGAGTTTGAAGTTATCATCATCAACAGTGCATAATATCATCCAAAGATTCAGAGAATCTGGAACAATCTCTGTGCGTAAGGGTCAAGGCCGGAAAACCATATTGAATGCCCGTGATCTTCGGGCCCTTAGACGGCACTGCATCACACACAGGAATGCTACTGTAATGGAAATCGCAACATGGGCTCAAGAATACTTCCAGAAAACATTGTCAGTGAACACAATCCACCGTGCCATTCACCGTTGCCGGCTAAAGCTCTATAGGTCAAAAAAGAAGCCATATCTAAACGGGAACCAGAAGCGCAGGCGTTTTCTCTGGGCCAAGGCTCATTTAAAGTGGACTCTAGCAAAGTGGAAAACTGTTCTGTGGTCAGACGAATCAAAATTTGAAGTTCTTTTTGGAAAACTGGGACGCCATGTCATCCGGACTAAAGAGGACAAGGACAACCCAAGTTGTTATCAGCGCTCAGTTCAGAAGCCTGCATCTCTGATGGTATGGGGTTGCATGAGTGCGTGTGGCATGGGCAGCTTACACATCTGGAAAGGCACCATCAATGCTGAAAGGTATATCCAAGTTCTAGAACAACATATGCTCCCATCCAGACATCGTCTCTTTCAGGGAAGACCTTGTATTTTCCAACAAGACAATGCCAAACCACATACTCAATTACAACATCATGGCTGCGTAGAAGAAGGATCCGGGTACTGAAATGGCCAGCCTGCAGTCCAGATCTTTCACCCATAGAAAACATTTGGCGCATCATAAAGAGGAAGATGCAACAAAGAAGACCTAAGACAGTTGAGCAGCTAGAAGCCTTTATTAGACAAGAATGGGACAACATTCCTATTCCTAAACTTGAGCAACTTGTTTCCTCAGTCCCCAGACGTTTGCAGACTGTTATTAAAAGAAGAGGGGATGCCACACAGTGGTAAAAATGGCCTTGTCCCAACTTTTTTGAGATGTGTTGATGCCATGAAATTTAAAATCAACTTATTTTTCCCTTAAAATTATGCATTTTCTCAGTTTAAACATTTGATATGTCATCTATGTTGTATTCTAAATATAATATTGAAATTTGAAACTTCCACATCATTGCATTCTGTTTTTATTCACAATTTGTACAGTGTCCCAACTTTTATGGAATTGGGTTTGTATTTTTTTTGTTTGACTCCAATATTTTAGATGGATAGATGCAGAGATGTATTGACTAGCATCTTGTTGAACTAGCGTGTACTTTAGGTAGGCGGATATTTGAAGGTCTGTTCATCTCCCAGGTGTTCTGACCTCAAGGAACCCACTTGTTTCAGGGTCTTCTCTAGATCGCCTCATCCTTACGCTGGGCCTTCAGCTGTGCTGCAGTAGTTGTTCAGAAAGCCATCAGCACAACCCAACACAGGTGTCCTTTTGCTGGCCTCCATCCAGCCTCAGGTCTAAAAGCAGACTTAAACTAGGTGTCCACTGGTGCGGAAGAAATCTGTTCATTCCATTCAAAATTGTAGATGTCTCCCATTTTTGGGCTGTCTCATAAGGCAGCGTGGCGGTGTTTGCTGTACACATAGTCAAAAACCTGATTTAAATGCAAACATTTTTGGCTATGATTTAATTTACTTCCTGCAGATTTTCAATTATTACAGATATCACTGCCATAACCTCAGAGTTTGGACACCGCACCTGTCATTTTAATTTAGTTAACAATTTTTTGATTCTCACACCGCTTGCCCCACTTTGCTATCAATCCCACAATCCCCTGCGCGAGTCTTTTGCTCCGCTCCCATAGTGAAGGGCTTGAAAACAGCTCTTCCTTGTACACTTAGTCCAATTTCAGGTTCAGGAATAAAAGTTGTAATTGTTCAAAAAGTATTGTTTAATGCCTAACTAGAGGAATATTTCATTTTGGATGAAAGGAAAATCAGTGGTTATTGGTCATTTTGCTGATGCACGTGTCTGAGAGCTCTTTGGGCCATTGTACCCTGCATGTACCCTACCTATTGTACCCACATAGTGATCTTTCTCATTATTTTCCTTGAGATACCATATTTACACTTAAACAAATCAATTATAGTTACATGCCTTAATGTTTAGTTACATTCCTTAATGTTAAATGTCAACTATCCATTTGTAAAGCAAAATTGCTCATTAGAATGATCCAGTGCAGTTTGGATTCCTCTCCAAATCTGTGGGGAAGATCGCGAGGATAAGCTGCTGAATGCTCATCTCTCGCTGTGCGGGCAGAGCGCTCGCTCGGATCAGATCGTGAGCTTGCCTTAGAGGTCAACATGAAGAGCATCTGATGAGAACAGATGGAGAGAGTAAACTTTAAACTAGGCCGACAAGACCAAATGTTTGTCTTGAGCACATGACGGTGATTTCAGTTCACATCAAGTGTGCTCCAGCATGCCCACAACAGTGCTTGCATGCAATTTTCACAAAATGTTTTGTCAATTGCTTTCTTGTGTTATCATCTTTTTAAATTTTAATTTGTGGTAGAGAAACAATGATAGAGAGCTATAGGAAGTAGTGGGACCGGGGTAAAGAATCTACAACCAACACTTGAACTTGCATTACAGTTTGAACTCATTATGTTGGAAGCATGTGCAGTATCACTTGTCCACGGCATGAACTTTATTTATTTATTTATTTTTTTGACTATAGTTCAGGGGTATCTAATTAAAGTTCCAAGAGGTCCGGATATTTCCTTCCCAGCGGAGGTCCGGAAAATACTTTTTTGGAATAGTTATACATTTCCTTCAGGGCAGTAGTAGTACTTTAGTTAAAGAAAAAATCCTAAACAGTCAAAATAGTCATCAAAGATGAGAATCTTGAGCCCTCAGAGCCAAAGCAGTGGTGTCTGAGAATTTTTCTATAAAAAAAGTAAATATTTCATCAGTTGAGCCCAATTGGATTTGTGTATTAAAAGGTTACATCAGAGGTTTTATCAGGCTATTATTATTTTCACATTTAGACACATTCGCATGGATTGGAAAGGGCTTGAATGAAGTGCGTTTGGCTATAAAAATATCAAAGTATTAGTGCTGAAACTAAGAACATTACTATAAACGACCCTGAGCGTTTTTGTGCGTACTGCTTTAAACTGTAGAAACGGTAAAATCCTGCAATAATGTCCCTTGGCTCAGATGGAACCAAGCCGGGGTCTGGAACCGGAGTGTGGTCCGCTATTTAAGGACCCCTGCTTTAGTTAATCTAAATTATTTTATAATAATTATGCATGCAATTTGGATGAGTGTATTATTTGAGGGAATACATAGAATTTTTTGGTATTTATTAGGGCTGTCAAACGATTAATCGCGATTAATCGCATCCAAAATAAAAGTTTGTGTTTACATAATATATGTGGGTGCACTGTGTATAATTATTTTATAAATAATATAAATACACACACATGCTTGTATATATTTAAGAAATATTTTCATGTATATACTGTATATAGATTTATATATAATTGATATTATATATAAATATCAATATTTTATATTTAAATAATATTTTTTTTTCTTAAATATACATGCATGTGTGTGTATTTATTTATATTTATATATATATATATATATATCGCGATTAATCGCATCCAAAATAAAAGTTTGTGTTTACATAATATATGTGGGTGCACTGTAAATAATAATTTTGTATATATATATATATATATATATATATATACAAAATTATATTAATAAATTTTGTTAATAAATACCCACATATATTATGTAAACACAAACTTTTATTTTGGATGCGATTAATCGCGATTAATTGTTTGACAGCCCTAGTATTTATACTTGTATATTTATGTTGGTACTAAAATTCCAGTAATCGGGACCATTTTAAGCGAACAAGTGAAGTAGAAATGATTATTTTTAGATAAATATAAAGACAGTCACAATGGACATAAACAGTAAGGTAGTGCAGAGTGAAATAATAGTGCGGTATAGTAATATAGAGTTAGTGGGGGCGGGGTGTTATTGCACTTCGTACTTTAAGTTAGGGGTTTATTGCACAAGTCTCAGGTATGAAGGGGAGTTATGTGTTTAAGCATTATGTGTCACACACATTCATAAATATTAATCAGTAATCTTGACATTGATTAAAATATGCCTATGTCATAGTTCATGGGCATATTATGCATTCACTATCATATATTCTTAAAGTGAACAAAACGTTTCCCCTTTTAAATGCTCTCTGACTTACGAGAATGATCCCACCAAGCAACATCATATTCATTTTCATTTGTGCATGTGTCTGTGTTTCAGAATGGAGCGGTTCCAGGAGAGCCAGTAAAGAAAGATGAAAACTCCAGAAGGGGAAACTGGGGCAACCAGATTGAGTTTGTTCTCACCAGTGTTGGTTACGCAGTGGGGCTGGGAAACGTCTGGAGGTTTCCTTACCTTTGCTACAGAAATGGAGGAGGTGACCAGTTAATTTCTTTTTCTTTGCCCAATGTCTATATTGACTTTCTTTCAGTGCCTATCCTGCACCGTTGAGTTAGCATTTTATAATTTCATGCCAAATTAGTTAAACATTTCATTTAATGTACTTAAACTGGTGGGATTTGGGGTTTTGTTTTACCATTGAGTCCTTTTCCAAATTCATTGCTCCCCTAAAAGGGTACTCATTGGGTATCAAGTCTCATAACACACCTTACTTAAAATAGACCAGGCTAGGGTCTCTAGCAGATGGTCCCAGATGAACTGACCCGGAAACCTCTGCCCCATGATCTCATATTCTTCGAGCTGCCTCTGATCGGGGCCATATCCTGAATTAGCCCATTATTTAGATAAGTACTTAACTCCAGCCTATTTAAAAAGACAGAATGTGCTCCTGTAAAATGTACTAAGTGTACTGTTTGTATGTGTTTTTGACCATTTAGTTGTTGTTTTTTTATTATATGCATATCATTATTTAAGCAATGTTCATCTGCATAATTCCAGAAGAAGTGTCTTGCTTTTTGGTTTTGGGCTACCTCAGTTTGAGGCCCCTGGCACATCGACCCCATTTCCCCGGGCCATAATCTGCCCTTGTCTTTAATACACATAACACTGTATTTCTGTTATGTAAAACATCAGCACTTTTGGAATGCAGCTCGTCCAATCAAATTTGACCAGTTATGTCACTTTAGCTGTTACTCATTTTATTTGCATTTAGCATTAGGGAACATTATAATGGAATCATACATTGGCTATTCTTTTTGTCATTTCAAGTGAGCACACCTTGATTTCTGTCTTCAGTTAGAAGACTGATGTGTCAGAGTTTTATGTAACTGTGGGTGTGTCTGCATCACAGGTGCCTTCATGTTTCCATACTTCATCATGCTGGTATTTTGTGGCATCCCTTTGTTCTTCCTGGAGCTCTCCTTTGGGCAGTTCACCTCCCTCGGGTGCCTGGGAGTCTGGAAGGTCAGCCCCATGTTTAAAGGTGAGCATGTAGCCATTAAAGGAGGTGTGAGAACAACTCATGGAAGTATTTCCATGACAACTAAACATAATGGATGAATCTATCTGTATAGAGTGCGGAAGTTATGCCGTCACTTTGTAGGCCAAAACGCTGAAGTGAATTAGCATTTTCGCACTCCTGGTTTATTTGCTCTAAAGTCTGTGGTATTTTTGAATGGGTTTTTGCTAAATCGCCTGAAATAAGGTCTGTGGTGAACAGAGCCTCTAAATATTTTCACGATTTGATCTATGACATTAAACACACCAGTTATAACCTGCTTGTGTTTTTTTAAACTTTATATAGGCTTCAAAATTTTGGATTAACTTGTAAAGATTATCAACGTGTAAGGGTCAAAACTCTTTACTCTCTTAACTCTTTTCTATGGGGAAAATGCATAGCTTTTCGATCGAGAGAACCCATGTGACGCTAACTGCTGATTTGTCTTTAAAGTAATATCATGACTTGTCTGACATGTTTGGCTAGTAATACATTTTTAAACATACACTCTCAGTATTTTCTCCACTTCAGTGGCTTGAATGCTATATGTGTTTGGTTCGCTTGTTTAATTTTTTCCTTTAATGTTTTATATTTGTTAACCTACATTAGTTAACATGAACTGACAATGAAAAATACTTATAAAGCATCTATTAATGTTAATTTCAACATTTACTTATACATTATTAAATTAATTTTTAAAATCATAAATTAGATAGTTTTATTTATTTTACTGTTTTTTGTTTTTTTGTTTTTGGTAAATCCTGTTTACAATTTGGAATTGCAGAAGCTTTAATATCATTTAGCTTTAATATCAAAGCAGCAACCATATGTAATGTATTTTATTGAACTGCAAAGTGAATGTATTGTAATGTAGTTGATCTCTCTTCTTCAAGGTGTGGGCTATGGAATGATGGTGGTCTCTACCTACATTGGAATCTACTACAATGTGGTGATTTGCATCGCATTTTATTACTTCTTCATGTCAATGACAAACCTGCTGCCCTGGACGTACTGTAACAACCCTTGGAACACCCCTGACTGCTCTGGGGTGGTGGGAACTCCACGAGCTAATGCCACCTTCGCCAATATGTCTGCTGTCGTGTCAGGGGTGACTGAGATAGTCAACCGCACCAAGAGGACCAGTCCTAGTGAAGAGTACTGGAGGTAAATTCAAACCTTTATATGTTGATTAATCTATACTGTATTTTTTTTTTTTTTAAATGAAAAGTAAAAAAGTATATAGTTTTTTTTGAATATCATGAATAATAATATAATATAATGTTTTGGGACGTCCCATTACATGACATTTCCCAACCTAAACTAACCTTGTGTTGCAGGGACCATTTTCTTTAAATGACACTTTCTTCATGATATCAAAACTGTTTTATAAGCCTGATATTTTGACTTTAATTTTAATACAGACATTAAAATATTCTCCTCATAGTAGAGGTTTATTTAAGTCTATTTTTTTGTATTTTTATGTAAATTAGCACTAGAAAAAAATAAACATTACTTAATATCTGTATTGTTTATACACAATCATCTTAACTCTCTGGGTCTTTTATTCCCTGTGTTTAAATTTTGGTTGTCAATACATTACTCATCTGTACTTAAAATGCATGACAGGTTAATAGTTGAAAGCTGGTAATAATAAATGTTTGCGATTTGTCATGATGTTTGGATCTGTGTGTATTGGACTTGACAGATGTGTTTGTTGAATGACATTACAAGACAATGGGACAGAAAGGCACAGAATGTTTTGTTTTTCCAAGAGTGTGATTGTATGTGGTATGTGGTTGGGAATGAATGCTTCACTTTACTGCCAGCGGTCAGAGAATGCAAGGCTTTGACCATGAGACGTGTGTGGACCGTTCAACATCTTTATAAATGGTTTGGGCTCTCTGGGTTGTGTTGTCCCTGTGGCATGAAAGACATTCTTGTTCTTGCCTTTTGTAAACTCATTCATTGTGTTGCTGAGGTTATTTTTTTATGGGGCTGTGCTCACAATGCTTTTAATCTAAAGGCAAGCTCTGAAAACATTAGATTAGCATGATGATTTTGATGACTAAACTGTATCTGTCTTGCATCCTGCAGTCTCTCACATCCCTCTTTTTCTGGTTTTTCCCTCTCAGGAACTATGTATTGAATATCTCTGACGGCATTGGGAACTTTGGGGAGGTGCGTCTGCCTATCCTGGGATGTCTGGCTGTGTCATGGGTGGTTGTGTTCCTCTGTCTTATTCGAGGAGTCAAGTCATCAGGCAAAGTGAGTTGAACATCCATTCGCCAAGGTCATGGGATCAATTCTCATGGATGTTAGTTTACAAATAAACTGTAGTTTACAAATAAATCTAGTGTACAAGTTTTACTATAGGGTTTTATATATATATATATATATAAATACTTACAATCAGTTTTGTCATCAACTAATTGAAATATAAAAGCAATATAAAATAGAGCAAAATAAAAATAGAAAAGCAACTAACTGAAATAAAATAAGTTGACTGGACAAATAAAATATAGAATATAGAGATAGAAGAATGATACAAAAATAATGCTTACCGTACCTTTTTTCTCACTGAGTTTTAATGCATGTCTTTCCTCAGGTGGTGTATTTCACAGCGACCTTCCCTTATGTGGTGCTGACCATTCTCTTCATTAGAGGAATCACTCTTGAAGGAGCCGTCAGTGGTATCAAATACTATTTGACCCCTCAGTGGCAAAAAATTCTAGATGCCAAGGTCCGTACATTGTATTACAGCAAAATTGTGTATAACTGCAAGTGATCACTGAGGCTATAGACAATAATTTTTATTTTGTGTCCTGTAGGTATGGGGGGACGCTGCGTCTCAGATTTTCTATTCTCTTGGCTGCGCCTGGGGTGGGCTTATTACCATGGCATCATATAACAAGTTCCACAATAACTGTTTCAGGTAATAATTCATCCATTTTTTGTTCTGCTAATGTGTCATTTTAAACCATTTTAACCTGTAAGTATTGAGTTTTGAGTATTGACCAAGAGCTCTGTGTTGTGATTGGTGTCTGCATTACTTTGTAGCTCCCCCATGTGGCTTGTACAGCTAAATGCATAGAATACTTTTAACTGGAAATAAAGGAATGTAAGAATTTCAGTTCTGAATGTATGATTGCAAACATAATTTAATGATTTGTGTATTCAATCAGAGACAGTATCATCATCAGTGTAACAAACTGTGGCACCAGTGTGTACGCTGGCTTTGTTATCTTCTCCATCCTGGGATTCATGGCTCATCATCTTGGGGTGGATGTGTCAGAGGTGGCCGCTCATGGTCCAGGCCTGGCATTCGTGGCCTACCCAGAGGCCCTAACACTTCTGCCCATATCACCTCTCTGGTCCCTTCTCTTCTTCTTCATGCTCATTTTATTGGGCCTTGGCACTCAGGTATTTATCTGGTTTTGTAACATTTTCACATGTCTATACAGTTCTTCCAAGACAGCACAGAATGTGTAATTCAACCTGAACTACTTAGAACTTTATTTTAAAGATCTGCTCTGTGTGGCTTTTTTTTTTAACTATAGTGAGAGAAAAAAAAAAAAGAGTTGTATTTTTATGCTGTTGTTGCTGTATTTTGCTGTATTTTGTACAGTTGTGCTATTTTAAATACCAACATTTAAATTAAAACTGCACACAAATTTCATGCACACAAAACAAAATATTGTGTTGTCCCTGTCTTTTCATCTGTCTGTGAAAAGTCTTCCCTGTCTGTCCCTGTTTTCAAAAAATCTTTTCAGATTTTTGTTTATTACGTTTTGCATGTTTACTAAAAAAAGATATTTAGCTAAATTAGAAATAATGTTTCTCCTGCACTTTTGAGAGCCATGTATCCTTAGTGTTAAGAAACCACATCTTCCATATTTCATTTCTGTATTGGCACATTTCTTTCCCCATCTCCTTTTATGTACGGTGGGTTTTATTTATATATATATATTACAAATGTACCTACATTTTTTTTTTTTTTTTTTTTTTGCTGCATTGCTGGTATTTCTTTTAAGAAATGTCTTGTTTAACTTGCAGTTTATGTATAAAGTGATATACAATTATTATTATTTTTTCTGTTTTAATGTAGTTCTGTCTACTGGAGACTCTGGTGACAGCTATTGTAGATGAGATTGGAACTGACTGGATTATCAGAAATAAGACCTACGTCACGCTCGGAATTGCTGTAGCGGGCTTCCTCCTGGGAGTGCCGCTGACCACACGGGTGAGTGACAAACACATTTGAGCAAACACACCCACATGTTCTTTATCCATGGATTGATTGTTTTGCTGTGTGCGATGTAGGCAGGGATATACTGGTTGCTGCTTATGGACAATTACGCTGCGAGTTTCTCTCTGGTTGTCATCTCTTGCATCATGTGCATCTGTATAATGTATGTCTATGGTGAGTCCTCCAAGTCACTTTTACATCCTGTATATAAAGGCCACCGTTGCTGGATGTAAACCAAAGGGTTAATTTCCTTGTTGTGTTTCCAACCAGGTCACAAGAACTATTTTAAAGATGTGGAGATGATGCTTGGCTTCCCTCCTCCAATCTTCTTCAGGGTCTGCTGGAGATTTGTGTCTCCTTTAATTATTTCTGTGAGTAAGAGGTTGTTCTGATTCAAATGTGTCTGAATTAGGTATTGTTCAAACTATATCGTTTATACCAATCCTTTTTGTCTTTGTCTCTTCACAGTTCATTCTGATTTTTACTGTGATACAGTACAAGCCTATTACGTACAATGACTACGTGTACCCTGGTTGGTCATTGGTCATTGGGTTTGCCATGGCTTTGTCTTCAGTTATCTGTATACCTGTCTATGCTCTGTTCAAGATTGCTGTGTCTGAGGGATCGACATTTACAGAGGTAAGTGCTCTAAACAAAGTAATAATGCTTTAGAAAAATGTTTACAATATTGTGCGTTTACATGCAACGAAGACTCCAGTGAAGTCCGTAGACTAATAATCATTAGTAGTAAATCATTGTATTTATTTATTTAGTTAGTTATTTTTACATGGAATGGGTCACTTCATTGGCCGACATGTGATCGCATAACTAGCCAAAAACTTCTCAAAATGTCTGAGAAGCCAGTGAATGGCCCCATCTATAGTACTGGAGTAAATTTCCTCCCTGTTCATCCTGTTCAGTATTTCTTCTGCTCTCCATGTGAATACTTAAAGGGTTAGTTCATCCAAAAAAGAAAATTCTGTCATCAATTACTTACCCTCGTGTTGTTCCAAAGCCTTAAGACTTTCATTTATCTTCGAACCACCAATAAAGATGTTTATGAAATCGGAGAGATTTTGGTCCCTCTATTGACAGTTGACATAACTGACATGTACAACAGTACAATGACACTGTTCTTTTGTCAAATCAACTTAAATAATTTATGTAGTTCAGATAACATAATATTTTGTGTTTCTGGTTGTTAAATCAACCACCTTCATTGTATCAACTCAGTTTTTCCATTTCAATGAACTTAAAATTTTAAGGCAACCAGGTTACTTAATTTTTTAAGTATGTGGGGGAACAAACCCTTTAAGATTTTTTTTTATGATAACTTAATTTTCCTGAAAAATTCTTTAAAGTATGCCAATCCTTTTTTAACAAAATTCAACTGTTTTCAAACCAACTCTTTCCTCTGCAGCGTTTGAAGAACTCCTTGAAGCCTGACCTGGACTGGGGCCCTGCTCTCCAGGAGCACCGCAAGGGGCGATATGCCACCACGGGCCCTGAATCTGTGGAGGTGTGCCCTCTCAAAGAAGACCTGAAGGATGAGGGGAAAGAGAAACTCAAGGAGAATGAGGATGAGATTGGTCTGACCATCCCAGGAAGCAACGGCTCCACATTGAACCCCACACCCAGCGCATAGAGGAGCCCCTCCACACCTTCCCCCCAGGACGGTTCCCATTCCCACACTGCGGGTCAGGCCACTCTCGCTGGAGACCTTTACATATTGTAAGGGCTTTATGAAATCTAACCTCTAGAGAAATTGGTTGTCATCCAAAACCTTTTTCTTTTTGTTCACATAATTAAATACTGCAGTTTTTTTTAAAGAAAAAGAAGACATGTTCATATACAGGAGGTATTTGCATACACACAGTGTGTATATAGCGCATTGTACAATATTTTCACTCTGTGTTGTATAGTCTGGAGATGTGACTGTAGCGGCAACAGGAGCTGCAGTGGGATTTGGCTTGTGTGTGTGTGTGTGTGTGTGTTTGTGTGTGTAGTGGCGGCAGTGCTGGTCAGGTTTAAAAGCTGAAGACCAAATATTCTTTGTGGCAATGTTGTAATGCCATTGTTAAGGGGAGTGCTATTTTCAGTTTCTGTTTTGTACCTATTGTCTTGTTTGGGAACCTTCTCATTCACAAGCCAATATGGGTTTTTCAGTGGCCAATGGGGTTGTCTGAGAGTAGGGTGGCCGATGGTCAATATAATGCCTGTATATGATATAATACATGTTAAATAAAATGACCTTTTAACACTGCATTAACTCTAAAATATACAAACCAGGACATGTCTATTGTCCATTGACTAGACTACCGGTAGGTTTTGGGGCTAAAACTATCGTTAATCGTCCAAGTAGACTGGCTGATACTGATAAATAAGAATAGGCCAAGAGAATACCCACTCTATTTCCCTTTCAAGTGAGAGCAAAAATACAAAACAAAGGATATTTGGTCTTAAGCTCTTACTGACTGAGGTGTCTGGACCGAGGCAAATAACTTCTCAAGCCAATTCTCAGGGTTACACACAATTTGCTTTTTTTGTGAAGCATTTTCCAATACCTTGAGATGATTTATTGCTGATGTTGAGTGTTTGACATGAAGGAGAGGGATTTTCATGTAGGAAATTCCACATGAAATGCCAAATCTGTCTAGTCTTCCGGGCATCTCCTGAGCGAGGGGATCACGTGTGCGATAACCAGAAGCAGCTAGTTCCTCATTAGATTCAGTACTGTAGTATGCACACTAACCCTGCTCTTCACAGAAAAGGAGGCATGTTACCAAAAACATGTGCACAGACCTTTGTATTCTGATGATTTAGCTGGTTGGTTTGTGTGTAATTTGATGTTGTCTACGCGTGTTAAGAGACTTGAACTGGTGTGTATGTGTCATTTAAAGGCATCTGGCTGTGCTGAGCCAAGCAGTTGTGTTTTTTGAATAATGCTGAACGATCAGAAGTAAACGTAGCATCAGTCACAATCACTGTAGTTAGTGTAATTGTTGGGTAGTCAGCAGTTTTTCCCTTTGTATTATTGTGAATAACATGAAATAGTCTTGCGAGACATAAAATGTCAAACTATCTGACTTTTAAAATAGAAACCACAGCATATTAGGTGTGTTTTTTGTTTTTTTGTTTTTTGGTTTTCTAGGCAATAGGGAGGGATATACTCAGATTGAGAGTTTGGTAGTTGGTATGGCTAGATGCTGCTTATCATATCATTCCAGTGACGTATCAAAAGGATTACTAAGGATGCTTACGGTTGAAGTGGCACATGTACTTGGATAGAGAGTCCTGGTTACACTGTGAATTTGTCTGGGATGTTGCCTGATGCCTTTTCAACAGGGATTCTGGCAAGGTAGCTGCTAATGGGCTGACGCATCACGTATTGAGACTTCTGATGAAACGGCGAATCGCTGTGTTTCGTGAAGTCAAAGTAGTATTGGTGTTTCTCTTTTGCGTTGTGCATGGAGAGACGCAGTATGTTTGTCATGTGCTTGGCTCTGTCATTTTGAGTCGAAATAGGAACAATACAAAGTTTCAGCTTTGAATTTAGCCTAATTTAGTTTTGAAATTTAAACAAATGTCATTTCTCGTGGCGTTTATACGCCAAAAATGGTTTTTGCGTGCTTATGCTACGCACTAAAAAACCCTGGGGTAGGTTTAGGGGGGAGGGGGGAGGTGGTGGGGAGTTTGTGCGTATTATACGCCAAAAAGTGTGTATCATATGCACGCGAAAAACACGTACCATATACACGCAAAAACTGTTTTTGGCATATACGAACTTTCATGAGATCGGGCTCGGCAGACCGCTGCAGTTGCCTCAGTACAAATGGCATCAGGCATCATTTCTTCCTCTTTTACTACTAGTTATGGCAGAGGGAAGACAAAGAAATGAAGATAGTTTAGAAAAATATGTTTAAAATCGAAGACTCCAGTGAAATCCGTAGACTAATAATAGCAAACCATTTTTAGTAAATCATAGTATTTCTTTCTTTCTTTCTTTCTTTTAAATGGAATGGGTCACTTCATGGTCCGACATGTTGTAATCGCATAACTAGCCAAAATCTTCTCAAAATGTCTGAGAAGCCAGTGAATGGCCCCATCTATAGTACTGGAGTAAAATTCCTTTTTGTTCATCCTGTTCAGTATTTCTTCTGCTCTCCATCATCCAAACAAGAAAATTCTGTCATCAATTACTTACCCTCATGTTGTTCCAAACCCTTAAGACTTTCATTTATCTTTGAACCTCCAATGAAGATAATGTTAATGATATCTGAGAGATTTTGGTCCCTCTATTAACAAAGTTTCAGCTTTGAAATTAGCTTTTTTTTTTTTTTTTAATTAAAACAAATGTCATTTTGATGCTCATTAATGTGGCCTGGCAGACCAATGCAGTTGCCTCAGTTCAAACGGCAACACAGATCATTTCTTCCTCTTTTACCAAGTTATTGCAGGAATAAACATCAGAAACTATGTTGAAAGATACAGTACAGCTTCCTGAACTCAACAGTATAACTTATATCTCATGTAATCGTGTTTCAATCACGGAAAGAGGTCAATAAACAGCTTGTGAACATCATCACATGACATTACATTTACCTCAGGAAAGTCCATTGTTTCTCAATTAGAAGGGGAAAAACTAATTTAGAGAAGAGCATATCCGTAAAATTATAAATGTTTTCACCCTAAATACATTACATTTTAGTTAATAAAACTCAATGGTTTTTTTTTTTTTTTCTGAAACTGACTCAAAATGATGGAGCAGGTCACAGATAAAATCAGTATTCAAAACCTGATGGCATAATAGTCTAGAGTTTAGAGTTGTACATTTTATTAATCTCTGCATGACGTTAAGGTGTGTATATATATATATAAATAGCCTATATTCAAGATTTTATCCAAAAATATATAAAATACAATCTAACTTTAAAAAGTTAGAACAAGAGAAAAAAAGAGATGCAACAAGAATAAAAGTAACCCTGCTGCCTAACAGGAGATATCGGACACTCAGGGGAGTAGTTAGAGGTTCATTGGTCTTTGTGAGCTAATAGCACAACCATACATGCAAGTCACAGACTCTAGCTTTTCCTCTGTTAGACAGATTAGAGCAGCAGTTTAGGTGTCGTGAGACTAACCGCACTTTTATTTACTGGTACACTTTAGCTGGCTACGTACACAGTAGCTACTGTATGATTAATCGCTGTTGCAAATGTGAATGCACAAGACTAAAGCCCTCTCATTTGTCTGATGTGTGGTCCTCAGACCTTGAACTTGGCATGAAGACCATGTGTCTGTCTCTAGGTACTGCAATGTGAACAGACCGAGACATGCAAACTCTTTATATAACAGTAGACATGTTATGCATCAGTGCCGTTCTTGCACTGTTCCACACCTCTAGTCCTCTCTCTCTCTCTCTCTCTCCGTTGTACAGTAATGTAAAAAAAGACAAAAATTCAACTGATGTTTGTGTTATCTGTTTTTATCAGGGTGGGTTGCTGTAGTGGGGTTTATTTTTAGTTGTTTTTACTTTATTTCTTATTGTAACGTAGCTAATGTTATGTGTACAGAGTGCTCTGTGTAGTGGACGTTCTGTCACTATTGATGTCGTACAGTAATTTTAATCAGTGTGTAATGATCTGTTTTTGCCATTTAACAGAAATCTACCTTTCTAAGAGATTTTTCCTTTTTATTTTTATAGTACTAAAACTGTATTTTATCATCAGTTTTAATATGTTTTTAGCTATATTCAGTGACACTACATTTGTTCCTTCTTAAACCTCCTCAAGCCAGCTGATCTCAACTCAAACACATTGCCAAACAAAGGCTTTGGACTGAAACTTGAAGAAAAAAAATGCTTTTTGAACAAGCGTCTGGTGATCAAACAGAAATCATTGATGTGAAAGGACACAGTCTAAAGCCAACAATGTTATATCTTCATCTCAGTATTGTAAGTGTATTTGTAGTGCTGCAAAACCCTTTAAGAACATTTCTGTCAATTTCATTCACAGTTTCATGTGTTCTGCACAATGTAAAAAGAAACAGAGAAAGCACATTTGATCTCCCGGAAAGAAAAATGCATTTGAAAATTACACATACTGAATTAATGTTTTGGAAATTTTATTTTGGTATATTAACACGTCGTGTCAATCTGCTATTGGGAATTAAAAAAATGCGTTTCTAAGAAGAACCGAACACTTTTACATTAGTTTGTAAATGAATTGTGATGGAATACACCTTCAAATGACATGACAGGGCTGTGTTGTAACGAGCAAAACAAAAATATATGCACAAAAAAACCTCTTGGTTCTTAGATTGAAATATGTATTGAGCACAATTTTGCAGCTTTCAAATGAAACTGAATTTTTTTCATTTACTTACCGTGGTGTTTATTCAAAACAGCATCATGTATTTTAATGTTGTTACAGCACTTTAAAATGTATACGTGTTTGAACAGAAAATAATACATAACTGCAAAAAATAAAACCCATATCGCTCCCATGTACTGTATCCTAAAAGAAGAGATCTCATCACAATAGTGTGTGTGTGTGTGTGTGTGTGTGCGTGCGTGTGTGTACCTGTGTGCTCATGGCAGTATAAAAACAGTGAAGTAAAAAGACAAGCACAATAATGACATGAGCTCAGTACTTTATCAAACATATCTAACCATGTCTTTTCCATTTTAGGGCCAAACTGAATTGAAATTGTCTTAGTCATGTCAGCTGTATATCTTAAACTGTTCAATTTGAAATGGTAAATAAAGTTTATTTTAAAGATCACCTTGTGGTTTGTGTTTTACTCCTATGGGTATTCCTAAGAGCGGTATCCAGTTCTTGTCAAATAGAAGTGAGCGGGCTGTTGGGCTGAGGGTGTCTGTTCCCCCTCTGCCCCCTGCTGGCTGTTCTCTGCCCTGCAGGAGGAGCGGGCTGGAGGTGTTCACCGTTTCTGGTCACCTCCATCTTTAGGCGGACGTCTTTGACGGATCCTGATGCTCTGACTGTGGTTGCTGGCACCAGTCTGAATGCTGAAGCTCTTACTGAATTTCCTCTGTACTTGCAACCTTTGTCCCCTTGTTCCAAAGCAGAAGTAGGGCTCGTGGAGTCAACATTTCTCATTAGTGGTACATCGCTCCTGATGTGGTTTGTGTCTCTGGGCGGACATGGTTTCAAATGGGGAACTGTTGCGTTTGGTTTTGGTCTTTCTGAATCATTTGCAGACAAAGTAAGCCCACTCATCTCCCTTTAAAAAAACATACTACATTTATGCCAAAAGAACCTTGGATCAACTACATGACTGCAGAGGTGGACAAAGTACACAACTTACTTACTTGAGTGAAAGTACTGGTCAAATATTACTCCGTTACAGACCTTTTCACTTTCACTTTCCAGTAGTGGGATTGTATAAGTGCACTCAGTAACGTCCACAATGCTTTCAGACACCCAAATAGCTTTTTTGGCTTTTATGTTAGTATGCTTACTGTTATTTGTAAGCTAGTGTGCTCCAAAACAATGACAAAATTTGCATTTAGAAGACCAAACCCAACAATGAAAATGAAAATCAGGTTGATGTCAGAATCCAACGCCAAATTGGTGTTAATCTCCAACGTTGGACAGACTGTGGTTGAAAAATGAAAATCAGGAACCAACATCAGTCAGGTCTGACGTCAACCCGACTTTAATTCCCAACCAAAATGCAACCCCTAAAATCATCCCCTGACTGACGTTACTACTTTCTATTCTACGGACCTTGACAGAAATAGTAGAGTAAATAGTATGATATTTGTCTTTCAAATGTAGTGAAGTTAAAGTAAAGAGTTTCCAGAAAAAATAATACTCAAGTAAAGAACAGATCTTTAAAGAGTGTACAGTACTTAAAGGAGAACTCCGGCGCAAAACGAACATTTGGTCTAATAAAACATTTGTACCTAGTCAATCGTTCTCTGAGATTTGTTTTCATGATAATCGAATGTAAAGAGTTTTATCTCTAAAAACTGTTTAGCGTATAATGCTAGTAATGGGGGCATTTACTAAGTAAAAAGAAATCACTAGTTTATACCACTAACAAGGCTCAAAACAGCCCCACACTAACGCAGTAACACAATGAGGGTCCATACATGCAAAACGAAGCATTGAGAACTTTGTAAGTGTACAGACTGTTTAATAAGAAGATACTTTATAAAGACAATTCACTTCGTGTATGCAGACAGGAGCCATCTTAGAAAATAGTCTCGATAAGTCGAACCCCGAACGCCGTTCATACAGTTCAGAAGTTCGCTGAACTTTTTTATTTATTTATTTATTCTTTTTTTTTTTATTATTTTACTTTTTATTTTTTTATAGTTCGCTGAACTTCATACAGCTCACTCAGCACGATGTTCGTGATTTGACTTGTCGAGACTGTTTTCCAAGATGCGGCTCCTGTCTGTATACACTAAGTGAACTGTTATAAAGTATCTTTTTATTAAACGGTCTGTACACTTACAAAGTTCTCAATGCTTCGTTTTGCATGTATGGACCCTCATTATGTTACTGTGTAAGTGTGGGGCTATTTTGAGCCTTAGTGGTATAAACTAGCGATTTCTTTTTACTTAGTAAATGCCCCCATTACTAGTAGTGTTATACGCTAAACATTTTCCAGAGATAAAACTCTTTAAATTCATTCATAAATTCATTCAAATTCATAAATTAATTCAGATTATCATGAAAACAAATCTCAGAGAACGGTTGACTAGGTACCGATGTTTTATTAGACAAAAGGTTAATTTTGCCCCGGAGTTCTCCTTTAAGTACAGTACTCGTACTTTGTTACTGTCCACCTCTGCATGACTGTGCATCAAGCATTATTCTGTGAAGGTGTTCTGACCTTGCATGGATTTGTTGGTTTCTGTTTCTGGTACTCTGGTTTATTGTGATGTTGGAGCAGTTTATTGAACTCTTGACATTCAGATCCCTCTGAATGAGTCTCCGTTCCTCTTTGAGCTCTGAAAGCCAGCAGAGAAAACAAGAAATCAGTGTTAAGCAGCCTACATTTTTATCAGAATTTTTTCTTTATTTGAAACTGCAGAATTATAAATTTAGCTGCTTTATTTTTACGAACAAGCTGTATATACAATTTAAAGAACAAACTGCATTACACACTGGCTGACGAGGAAAAGTGTACAAAAGATTTAGGAGTGAACCACTAGATGGTGGTGATACGCTATTCAAAAGGCTACTTCCCATTTGGAGACATTTCCAGATTTAAAATAGAATGGTTTAATAATCATTATGATGCAATGTTAATTCTGAAAGATTATGCTCAACAGTTGAATATATATATGGACAAATTTATATATTTACCTATATGGACAAAAACTCCTCAGAGCTGCTGTCTTGTTTTAGTTCAGTCTGCCAGTAGGCTTTTGTCTAATACAAAGGTGCATGAAAACAGAATCTTTTTGTGAAGATGAATAAGCGCATACCTGCTAGGGTGGGTTCTGGAGAGACAGCTTCTGTCTGGGCACTGGCTCTCTCAGTCTCAAGGTTTCCCTGTGATAAAATTAAGCCAAAGAATTTCAACACCATTATACTTTCAGACTTATCCCGCAGTGTTTGTCACCAAATCATCTTTGGTGTATATGTTTGTAGCATGTTTATAGCATATCACTCTAATAGACAATTCTATGGCATCAATATTCAGTTATTTTAAATTGATACAATTTATTTTTGATCAACTAAATGCACCCTTGGTGATACTTTTGAACTGCAGTATATATAAATATTGAGCCTGTTCTCATCCCAAGGCGTCATATATGACACTTTTGCCAAAGCGTAGACATCCAACGCACATGGCACCCTTTAGCCTCCTAGTGGTCTAACCCTAACCCTACCCCAGACCTAAACTACCATAACCGAAGCGTCTCACTTGACGCTAAAGGGTGCCTTGTGTTGGATGTCTACGCTTTGGCAAAAGAGTCGTATATGACGCCTTGGGATGAGAATGCGTTCAAATATTCTATCAGTAATTGTTAAAATTCGTGTTTGTTAAAAAACACGAAGGAACAAAATGTTCTAGTAAGATTTACTTTTTTTCTTCGTATATTTACTATTATGAGTGATGATTCAATCAAAAATTCATGATGTGAAACTTTGTATCTGCATCAAGAATAAATTGCCAAATTGCTTTACAGATAAAACCAAAAAATTTGCATTAAAAAAATGTGAAAAATACAGAGCTCCTAAAAGGACCTTTGCAAAAATAAAGTTTCTTGTGTGCACACGCGGAAGTTTCTCTTAAGCATGTGAAAGTCTGTATATTTATTTATTTTTGCAAAGGTCCCTTTAAGAGAGCTCACACTGCACTAAATGATTTCACAGCACTGCTCCACTGAGACTCGAGCTCTTAAAACAGGACTCCAAAACCACATGCTTTCGCTGCAAAGCCACACATCTCCATTAGCCCACATGTTGTACGGCAGCGGAGTACTATTACACCAGTCTGCCTGCTGCCTCGGTTTAGTCACTGATATATCATGTAGAGTCATGCTTACTGCCCAGCACATATACATTAAATGAAAAAAAAAAAAAAAAAAAAAAAAACAGAGCTCTCTGAGGTGAGCACTGTTGCTGCCAGTGTACGGGAGAATATTAACTTTAGCCCTGTGGTCTGTGGGCAGCGGTAGGTATAACCCCAGAGGCCAGCTGGAAAAGAAATAGCGCTAGCAAAGCCATAGTTACAGTATGAGGCAGGACACTGAAATCTAAGACCAGAGGCAGGAGGGACGCCCTCTCCCACACTCCCACACTCCCACAGATGAGCATGTCATTATCCTTGGCTAAAAATAAAACCATAACCACAAAAATAACATAAAAAACCCTTTATCATTCTTTTAATTAATGCAGTAAATTTAATTGAAGTTGATTTAGGCCTACTAAAATAACTCAAACTAAATAAACTAATAAAGACTGTACAAAGTGATAAAACTGTATTTATGAAACTAATAAAAGCACACAACACAATTACCTACATTAAAATTTAAATCCAATTCAAAAGATTAACAAAAACTATAACAGTATTTCAATGATAGTAAATAATAACACTGTTGTTTGACTTTGACTCATGACAATATTCAAAGGTCCCCTGCAGGGCAAAAATATTTTTGATAACAAATAACACAAAATTATATATAAATTATATATATATATATATATATATATATATATATATATAATGAAATGCAATACTGAGAAATAATTCAGGGTGGCTACAGGTATAAACAATTTAAATGTAAGAATTTTTAAGACTTTTTAATACCACTTCTAAATTATATTTAAGACCAAACTTACCATGAAAATATGAATTAAAACTGAAAATATACAGTAATATTTCCAAGTAAACACACTGTCTGTTCAAAAATATGGTGAAATGACAATAACCAAGTGTCAATTCCGTACGTGCAGTTGCCTGTGTTGTAATACAGTGGAGTGAAAAGAAATATAGAAGGCATTTTTATAAATGTCTTAAAAATAATAAAGTATATTAATAAAGGCTTAGATTTAATTTACTAATAAAGGCATAGAACCAGTTTATTTGTAGTGTACTGATAATAGTTTCATATAATTAGTTTGTTAATTATACTAATATATATAAATAATTGATTTCTGTATAAAATAATACTATAAACACTTAAAATAAACAGATTAGTGCCCTGTTTTGAGGACAAGAAATGAAAAACAATGCTGTATGATGACTGTCCAAAAGATGGAACTCTGTAATGGCCACCTAGTGTTCAGTAGTGTTCATGACATGTTGATATGCCTTTAAGATGACTTCTTCTATGACGTTCGTTATTGTATGCGTAATGTATTGTTATGTAAAATGGAGGCTCTAGATATAGGGCCAAGAGACTTAGACGTGAGTGCAAAAATGGAGGCTCTAGACCCTTCCAGAGCTGAGATATTGAGATTTTTATAATGGCATAAATGTTACATGGGATCTCAATATCTCAGCTCTGGAAGGGTCTAGAGACTCCAATTTTGCACTCACGTCTAAGTCTCATGGCCCTCTATCAGAATCCAGAGTTTCAAGACGATCAGAGAAACTCAAAATTTCGACCAAAAAAAAAAACGTAAGGGGTAACACTGTCGTTTTTTTTGGGGTGCGAAAAAATAAGTTTCTCCAATCCTCCTGAAACTCTGGATTCTGATAGAGGGCCTTGAGACTTAGACGTGAGTGCAAAAATGGAGGCTCTAGACCCTTCCAGAGCTGAGATATTGAGATTTTTATAATGGCATAAATGCTATATGGGATCTCAATATCTCAGTTCTGGAAGGGTCTAGAGACTCCATTTTTGCACTCAGGTCTAAGTCTCATGGCCCTCTATCAGAATCCAGAGTTTTGAGAAGATTGGAGAAACTTAATTTTTCGCCCAAAAAAAAAATAAGTTTCTCCAATCTTCTCAAAACTCTGGATTCTGATAGAGGGCCATGAGACTTAAACCTGAGTGCAAAAATGGAGGCTCTTGACCCTTCCAGAGCTGAGATATCGAAACTCAAAAATTCGGCCCAAAAAAAAAACGACAGTGGTACCCCTTACGTTTTTTTTTTTTGGGCGAAAAATTAAGTTTCTCCAATCTTCTCAAAACTCTGGATTATGATAAAGGGCCATGAGACTTAGACCTGAGTGCAAAAATGGAGGCTCTAGACCCTTCCAGAGCTGAGATATCGAAACTCAAAAATTCAACGCGAAAAAAAAAAACGACAGTGGTACCCCTTACGTTTTTTTTTTGGGCGAAAAATTAAGTTTCTCCAATCTTCTCAAAACTCTGGATTATGATAAAGGGCCATGAGACTTAGACCTGAGTGCAAAAATGGAGGCTCTAGCCCCTTCCAGAGCTGAGATATCGAAACTCAAAAATTCGGCCCAAAAAAAAACGACAGTGGTACCCCTTACGTTTTTTTTTTTTTGGGCGAAAAATTAAGTTTCTCCAATCTTCTCAAAACTCTGGATTATGATAAAGGGCCATGAGACTTAGACCTGAGTGCAAAAATGGAGGCTCTAGCCCCTTCCAGAGCTGAGATATCGAAACTCAAAAATTCGCCCCGAAAAAAAAACGACAGTGGTACCCCTTACGTTTTTTTTTTTGGGCGAAAAATTAAGTTTCTCCAATCTTCTCAAAACTCTGGATTATGATAAAGGGCCATGAGACTTAGACCTGAGTGCAAAAATGGAGGCTCTAGCCCCTTCCAGAGCTGAGATATCGAAACTCAAAAATTCGCCCAGAAAAAAAAACGACAGTGGTACCCCTTACGTTTTTTTTTTTGGGCGAAAAATTAAGTTTCTCCAATCTTCTCAAAACTCTGGATTATGATAAAGGGCCATGAGACTTAGACCTGAGTGCAAAAATGGAGGCTCTAGCCCCTTCCAGAGCTGAGATATCGAAACTCAAAAATTCGCCCCGAAAAAAAAAACGACAGTGGTACCCCTTACGTTTTTTTTTTGGGCGAAAAATTAAGTTTCTCCAATCTTCTCAAAACTCTGGATTATGATAAAGGGCCATGAGACTTAGACCTGAGTGCAAAAATGGAGGCTCTAGCCCCTTCCAGAGCTGAGATATCGAAACTCAAAAATTCGGCCCCAAAAAAAAACGACAGTGGTACCCCTTACGTTTTTTTTTTTGGGCGAAAAATTAAGTTTCTCCAATCTTCTCAAAACTCTGGATAATGATAAAGGGCCATGAGACTTAGACCTGAGTGCAAAAATGGAGGCTCTAGACCCTTCCAGAGCTGAGATATCGAAACTCAAAAATTCAACCCGAAAAAAAAAAAAACGACAGTGGTACCCCTTACGTTTTTTTTTTTGGGCGAAAAATTAAGTTTCTCCAATCTTCTCAAAACTCTGGATTATGATAAAGGGCCATGAGACTTAGACCTGAGTGCAAAAATGGAGGCTCTAGCCCCTTCCAGAGCTGAGATATCGAAACTCAAAAATTCGGCCCGAAAAAAAAACGACAGTGGTACCCCTTACGTTTTTTTTTTTGGGCGAAAAATTAAGTTTCTCCAATCTTCTCAAAACTCTGGTTTATGATAAAGGGCTATGAGACTTAGACCTGAGTGCAAAAATGGAGGCTCTAGCCCCTTCCAGAGCTGAGATATCGAAACTCAAAAATTCGCCCCAAAAAAAAAACGACAGTGGTACCCCTTACGTTTTTTTTTTTTGGGCGAAAAATTAAGTTTCTCCAATCTTCTCAAAACTCTGGATTATGATAAAGGGCCATGAGACTTAGACCTGAGTGCAAAAATGGAGGCTCTAGCCCCTTCCAGAGCTGAGATATCGAAACTCAAAAATTCGGCCCCAAAAAAAAACGACAGTGGTACCCCTTACGTTTTTTTTTTTTGGGCGAAAAATTAAGTTTCTCCAATCTTCTCAAAACTCTGGATTATGATAAAGGGCCATGAGACTTAGACCTGAGTGCAAAAATGGAGGCTCTAGCCCCTTCCAGAGCTGAGATATCGAAACTCAAAAATTCAACCCGAAAAAAAAAACGACAGTGGTACCCCTTACGTTTTTTTTTTTGGGCGAAAAATTAAGTTTCTCCAATCTTCTCAAAACTCTGGATTATGATAAAGGGCCATGAGACTTAGACCTGAGTGCAAAAATGGAGGCTCTAGCCCCTTCCAGAGCTGAGATATCGAAACTCAAAAATTCGCCCCGAAAAAAAAACGACAGTGGTACCCCTTACGTTTTTTTTTTGGGCGAAAAATTAAGTTTCTCCAATCTTCTCAAAACTCTGGATTA